CGAAATTTCAATTCAGTGATTTGACTAAAGTTTTGAAATAGATATTACACAAATATACTATGCTTGACTATTGGTACACTTCRACAATAGACCTCTTTATCTTGGGCGTAAACGCTTTGCCATTTTAGACCACCTGTCATTCCCTAGAGCATTGTTTCTTTGTTTAACGGTTGCGCATGAGAATGACACGTGGCCTGAAATAGGAAAACATTGCGTCCAAGGTAAAGAGATCTATTAGTTTTTGTAAGTAGCGCAAAGCAGTCCTTGCTTTTACGGGACCCCACCCCTGCCCACAATCCCTTTTCCTCTGAAGTTAAAAAAAAAAAAGAGAGATCGTTGTCTCTATTACTGTTATTTTCTTGTTTCAGGAGAGTGTGCTGTTGCCAGTTCGCATCGATGGGAGTGCGGCTGGCTTGGTATTGATGAGCAAACCTGTKTAAACAGAGGTTGTTGCTGGGACTCAAGCGACCGTAATGCAAAGTTCTGCTTTGTCAAGAGAGGACAACGTAAGAAAAAATTGCCTACATGCGACACTAGGGAAAACCTCTGCGCATGCGTGCATATTAGCACGTTTTATAAGAATTCAAGAGAGTTTTAGCGCGAAAAGGAAATATTCATTTTCTCCGAGTATACAAAAATTTCTTGAGTATACTTTCGTAAGACGAAGATTTTGTATTAATAAAGATACTGTGAAAGAATTAGCCTTAAGTTTCAAGAACTGACTCTAAGTTTTGACATTTTGTAAAGTCCATTATTCCGGCAAGAGTGAAAGTCAAATTTGAATATTTTTACAAAGGCAAGAACACGTTTTGGACTAATTTGCATTGGGAATTACTACATGCGCAGACGTTTTTAGCTAGTGTCGATGCATGCACAAAGCGGCTTTGAGTCACTTACTTCTGTTTCATTGTCATATTTCTAATTCACAGACCTTCTTGAAGGACAGTGTCCCGTTGCGCCTTCTGAACGCCAGGAGTGTGGATACAGAGGTATCACCAGAGACGAATGCCTCAAAAAATACTGCTGCTGGGATGACTCGGTACCTAATGCCAAATGGTGCTTCAAAGAGCCAAGTAAGTCGCACAAAAACTAACAGTTATTGGGTTCCCTGTGCTAAAATAAATCACGTGAGATTTATTACGCYCAAGATCAAAAAAATCCCTTTATCTTGGGAATATTTTCCCCCCATTTCTGCTAAAAGAAGATTTTTTGTTTTCGTTGTATCAATATTCATGTGTCTTCTGATGCGCAATCGTTAAACATAGAAATGATGCTCTTGCAAATCACACACGGTCTGACATGGGAAAACRTTACGCCCAACGTAGAGGGGGTCTATATATTATAAAATTAAGCCAGAATTCAATTTCTCATAGAAACGAATACTCACGTTTTGCCATCCAACATGGCTGCCTTCGGAAGATGGTGCATACACATCGATCGTTTCACAATGTCATTGTTGAGTTCAAAAAAGCGTATTGCGCTTTTCGTAGTAGCAGTACAAACACCGTCCTATATCATAAATGAGAATCAAATATATGTTTAATTCTCTGCTAATTGATCTTTTGTTAATTATGGGGCTGTAATTTTTTTAAATCCTCCGTGATTAGCTCTCGTTAGCACACCTTTCTATTGTGCGGGAGGTCGTGGTTTCAAGCCGGACCCATACTGAGGATTGTCAAACACTATCAAAGTAAAAGGTCCTAAAGTAGTTCTAGAATATCTGAAAATGGTCAGGCCTTCGCTGTAGCTTGAATGACCACGTTAAATGGCGGTCCGGTATCTTTCAGAGACGTAAAACATGGAGGGCCACGAGTTTATCAGTAGTTGCGACTATTGTAAATAAAGTTGATTTTCATTCCATTTACAATTGCTTAGAATTGCTTCCTGCCGGCTGCTATATCTATCATGGTGTGTCTGGGGTCTGTCGTTACACTTGTCACGCTGGAGAGAGCAAGGCTTATGGGATGTCTTTTTGCAGTGGACGAATTTGCTGCTACACCGGCACAACTAGTAAGTACACAGTCAGTAGCGATGATAATCAATAAAGGGAATGATACATGCACTGTCCTGCACATATCAGACAACAGTTGGAGCCCATGTCCTCATACACATGTGCAACACTAATTAGGCAGACAGTATAAGTAACCATAGGCAACAGTTTCATCCTTATCAGGACTAATCACTATGGCGAAATAAACTGATAAATAAATTGATAACTAATTGATAATATGAATTTTAATATTTAATTAATATGATTAAATTCATAAATTAATAATTTAATAGGATGATTTAAAAAAATGATAGGATAATGATATGATGACGTAATTGGTAATGATATTAATAATAATATTGATGATCAGGGCGATCAATAAAATTACAACAATAATAATTATAATCAAATGCTGTTAATAGTGACAAGAGGAACGAAATAATTAAATGAGAGAGGAATGAGTGGATAAAGAAAAAATTCTTAAAAAGATCGATAGATGATATTCATGGTGCCACATTTTAGTCCAATTTAGCATAGGCGAAAACAAACCGAGCGACTCAAAGTAGTCATTGGTTTAGGGGGTCTTTATGGGAGACGTTCTGTTTGTGTGTAGTCATTGATTTAGGGGGTCTTCATGGGGGACGTTCTGTTTGTTCGTAGTCATTGATTTAGAGGGTCTTCATGGGAGACGTTTTGTTTGTTTGTAGCCATTGATTTAGGGGGGTCTTCATGGGGGACGTTCTGTTTGTTTGTTTGGCAGGTTCCTTTTTGCCTAAGGAAAAATCGTAAAGTAGCATTACGGAAGTGCTTTAAAAAGAACTAGTAAAAATCGTCAGACGTGCAGGTCGTTTTCCGAATGGTAATAATAGCTCATTTATCATCTTGTTTCTTATTTATTTTTAGATGGAAAGTGATCTCAACAGTACATTTGGTGGGACTTTCACTTTCAATTTGAGACTAAACCGTCAACAAAAAAATAAATTAATTTGTTTTAGTAATATAAAAGATATATAGGAACCATTAAAAGAAAATAAAAATAATAAAAATAAAAAAAACATACATGACTATCATAATGATACTTTTTGTTTGCTACAAGTCATACTTGATACGCGCGCCCCTTTGGCTAACGAGTCAAAGAAAACTCGCGGCAACTCGTCCAGGGAGTTGTTAAATAGAGCACGCTTCTCGACCACGCTTTTTATCCCAATTAGTTAATAAGGAATTCG